CAAGGAGTTCATCGAGACCGAGTCTTCATCCTCATCATCCTCCTCCGACTCAGGCTCTGAGTCGGAGCGGGAGGAGCGCCCGCTGCCCAAGGCGCCAGCGGCCGCCGGGCCTGAGCCGCGGGCTGCCAAGGACGCGGGGACCGGCACCGCCAGCAAACCCCACGGCGGCTGCAGTGCCTTTGGCTCTATTAATGCCAGGACTAGTAGTGAAATAGCAAAGGAACTGGAGGAACAGTTTTACACCCTGGTTCCTTTCGGTAGGAATGAGCTCCTGTCTCCTCTGAAAGACAGTGATGAGGTAAAGTCGCTGTGGGTCAACATTGACTTGGCTCTTTTGTCCAGGATTCCAGAGCGTTTGCCCGAAGAACCGCTGGCCATGAGCGCCGGAGCAAACCAGGCGGCCAGCTTCCCGCAGGGTAGTAGTGCTGAACCCCCCGCAGAGAAGGGTTTACCGAAATCTAGAAGGAAACGCAAGGTGAGCTGCTGGGGAACCGATCAGAGGGGTAGGGGAAGCCTCCAGTGAGTGAGAGGCAAACACCACTTGCGCCCACATCCAGTGCTCGATGGCCGCATCTTCTCCAGGCTGGCGTTTCAGAGCTGGGATTTGTCCCTGCTCTCCACGTAGGGACTGGCCAAACCCCAGGGGAAATGCCGTCTCTGGAGGTGATGAAATTCCTGGCCGCGAGGGATCACAGCTCTTTGGAGACAGAGTTTACTGCTGGCATGTGCCTTTGCATGCCTTAGCGAAGGCACTGCCTTTATAGTAGCATAATTTTCTCTCCTGAGGCTTCTCTCAAAACCTGAGCATTTGGAAATAATGCTCAGGTCAGCAAAGGGACAACTGTCTGCTGTCTTGTCATAGTCTACACAGTATCATTTTGTGTGTGTGGTAAAAAAAGAGGCAGCATTTCTTTCCCTTCTGACTGTCAGCAAGAGGCAAGCCCTTCAGCCCCAGCAGGGAGCCCTGGCTGTGTGAGGGATGCATTTGCAGAGACCTGGGACCTGACTGGTTCCAGATCCTGGTTCCCTCACACCCTGGTGGCCCCATTTTCCCTTGGGGCTATAGTGCATTAGCTGCCCCCTCCTCATCAGCACTGTCACAGTGCTTGGATGGGCACAGCCCTCTGCTCACATCCACCCTTCTGTCCTACTTCTTACTTTCTGGTGCCAAGGGGAAAGGCCCCTCCACTCCATGGCCAAAGCTGTCCATCTAGCAGGCTTTCTGGTCTTTTTGTACCAATCTGACCCCAAAATTAATTCTGAACTGCAATCACCATCTGCTCAGTTTCTGGACAGTTTTGCTGTGCAGCCAGTCATCTGTTGCCCTCTAAGCTACTGTATGCGTGCAGATGGACCTGTATATTTTTGAAGACCATTTATCTAAAGCAGTCTTCCATATCGTTTTATCTTTCTTCATTTTTTCATTCTTCTTTTATTGGTATCTGGAAGGTGGCAGCCCTGGTTCAAGTGGGGAAATGGTGGAAACCAAGTTTTGTATTGTACCCTTTCTTTACATGCTGCCTCTTTAGTTTTTGGGGTTTTTTTAAGACATGGTCCAATCATCTCTGATTCCATGTTAGCTGTATACTCAAACACAGTATCATCATTTGTAACAAAATGACAGAAAATACCAGACCCAGACTTGCTGAAATATTTTTGTATCTGTAGTAAATCCAAACCATAAAAAAATATTACTTTTCTCTTCACTCAGTGTGAGAATGAGGAAGAGTGCAGAGACATCAAGAAGACTCACTTAGAGCGAGAGAGTTCTTCACGATTAGCTGCCTCTGCCCAAAGCATCACAACAGCAAATCACTGCAATATGAATGAAAATAGGTAAGCTTTTTCCTTGTTAGTTACCACTGAATCATACAGCTAGTTGCAGTTTATTGCCAGGTGTTATTTTTTCCTTTAGTATGATTTATTTTTTAATTATCACATTTTATGTTGAAAAATTAACTGCTGCAGTCTCTGTTCTTCTAGTTTAATGATGAAATTAGTAGCTCCTGACACATTCGTGTACTTAGGTTTTTGTCCTGTTGCACAAAGAAGTTGTGAGGCTCATGGAACAAGTAATTATAGCTAGAGCAGTGTGATTTCCAAGACATATTCCCTAACACTGTGTTGTAGACAGCAATTCACATATATAACCATCTTACAGCCTTTTCTTTACTTTATTTACTTACAAGTTTCAAGCTTTAAGTTTGACTGTATAAATAGAATTATGTATCAGCTCTGTGGTAAGACTTTTTAAAAAGTGAGATTTTTGAAGGATGTAGGGCATGAAACAAAAGATGAATATTTAGCATTCACTGGCATGGTTTATGCACACAGAGCCCTATCAATGTTGGAGCAATCACACTTCCAGCAGTCTGCTGGAACTGCTTCCAGCAGTCAAACTTAGACATACATGTTTTCAGAGTTCAGCTGCATGCTGCTTTGTACATGCTGGTTATCAGTATTTTTTTATTATTATTATTATTACTATTTTTCTGGTAGTATCAGGGTACATCTTGGGATGAAATTGCTACAAAATAAGAAAATATTTGTATTTACTGTAGTAGGATTTTCTATTGCACACATCTTGGATGAGATTGAACAATTCTTGTCATTAATACTGGAAAAAATAATGAAGAAAACTGATATATATAGTGTTTATGCAAAAATATGCATTCAATTTCTTTGTCCTGACATGTCACATATGTTTCATAAATCCTTTCTTGTGAGTGGTTGCATGCTTTCCTGTTATCCCAGTGTCAATATGGTTTATGTTGCATTAATTTTCAGAGAGTAGCATGGCTGCCATAGCTAGCTGTGTCACAGGGTTAATTCTGTGGTTCCTGGAAGCAAGACAGTGGTTTGTGTTTTTCTTGACCTTATATTCAGTACTTCCAGTAGCAACTGTGTATTAGTGAAACAATTTCTGAAATGTACAGTTGCCTCTTAATTGCTACAGTTGCCTCCTGGTTTGCCCCGCTTCCGAGATGCTTTTGTGGTTTGTGCCACAGTGTAGAACATGTTATCAAATGCTGATATTCCCACTGCTGAGGAAGGGCTACTGAGGCTGTAGCTAAACCAGCAGGGCAGCTATCAGGACCTCCTGGTCATCTTGCAACCAGCATCTATCTGCTCATGCTGGCACAGCCCCTCTCCAGTTACACCACCATAGATGGCTCTGAGGTTCTCCTGTAAATATACTCGCAAAACTTGTTTGGAACCAAACCTCTTTTTTCCTTTTCCTTTTCCTTTTCCTTTTCCTTTTCCTTTTCCTTTTCCTTTTCCTTTTCCTTTTCCTTTTCCTTTCCTTTTCCTTTTCCTTTTCCTTTTCCTTTTCCTTTTCCTTTTCCTTTTCCTTTTCCTTTTCCTTTTCCTTTTCCTTTTCCTTTTCCTTTTCCTCCTTCTTTACCGTTTCATTTCTCTTTTCCTTTTTCTTCTTTTTCTTCTTTTGCTTTTCCTTTTCCCTTCTCTTTTCCTTTTCTTTTTTCTTCTCCTCCTCCTGTCTCTTTTACTTATCATTTTCCCTTTTCTATTTATTCTTTCTTTTTCTCTTGCTTTTTCCTT